GTAGGGGAGGGGGAGGAGGAGATGGATCTGGATTTGAAGTTGCGCTTCGAGTTGGAGTTGGAGTTGCTTGATCGATGTGTGCATATAGATGTGAGCATATACGATATTTGGAACGTGAGGTTTGAACTGATTAACTGACTAATCGATGATGACTTTGGAGGGGAAACAGTCATACCTGATGAATGATAGAGGTGAGATGAGATGAGATGGGAAATCGAAATTTCTTCTCGGTGACTACCTATTTTGCTATATAGGTGGATTGATACTTAAACATAGGTTAGAAAGTGGTGGATGCAAAGTTATTCAACTATACGTGTGTAACACGCCGGCCCTGAAGTATCTCATTTATTTACCTTGATCACTTCTTTGCGTCTTCTCACGGTCTGTAATGTAGAATGTAAAATACTCACTCTTATCTAGTAGGTAAATAGTAGATGAGTAGGTGGACAGGTATGTAGTTAGGTAGTGAATTAATCCGTAGATAGAGAACCATGGCTAGTATGTATGTATGTACCCTACCTACCTACTTACCTACCTACCTGTAAAGTCGGTTATTACCTCCCTCCCTACCTACCTAGTAAAAGATTAGTTCGCGATTATCGCTATCGGGTGGCTGCATTAGTTCCATTCGTTTCATTTCATTTCATTTTTATGTTCATTCGGGATTTTTGTTTGGTTGGGGATTCATTCTTCTATTTTTTATTTTTTATTCATTATTATGAGGTAGGTAGATAGGTGCTTACATCCGGTTCGGTTCGGTTCGGTTGTGTGGGTAAAGTGGGATTGGAAAGGTACTTAGGTAGGTAGTGATTGATTGATTGTAGTCTGTCTGTCTGTCTGCCTATTTATAAAGATGGGATTGTTGGAGGGAAGGTTTGATGGGAATGAATGAATGCTCTTTTAATTTTGGGGTCTGTTTTTGATAGGTTGGGGAAGCAAACTTTGGATTGAGGGATGAATGAATGAATGAATGAATGAATGGAGAGGGGTTTGTTTATCTTCAGTGTTTTCTTCTTTTTCTCTTGTGGTATGGAAGTCTTGGAGAATGAATGAAAAATGAATGAATGTCTGGATGAAACTCCTCTATTCATTCATTCATTCATTCATTCATTACAAATGCCCAACTGTCCATTTATCCATCCATCTATTCATTGAATGAATGCTTTTTCCTATCTACACACCTAGGTACCTAGGTATAAATTGTCGCTGCAGATTTCCATTATAAAACCACACATATAGGTCGGTGCGTGCTTCGCATCTATTTTCTGTTTTACATCCACAGCCACATCCACTGGCCATGATAATTTTCATGCCCAACTATTATAGATCATGGCTGACGAATCGATGAATGGATAGCTGATTGAAGGATGTCTGATTGAGGGATGGATGGATTGGCTTGTAGTTGGAAAACTATCTATTCTACACGGTTCTTCCTGGGACTAGAAATGGATTGGAAACTCACCGAGCGGATGGAACGTGGTGTCTCAAACATTTTGCTTCCGATTTTTTCCGGTTGGAGATGGTGATGAGGGTGAGAAGGAGATGGAGAGGGTCTGTTTAGAAGCAGAGGAAGAGGAGAGGATGTTAGAGGGGGAGATTTAATGGGATGGGTGTCTGGACTTTTGTGTGTGTGTGTATGTGAGTGAGTGAGTGGTGGATTGGGGGTAAGTTGGAGGGTATGATATGATTGACCACGATATCTAGTGGTATATAGATGGAGATGGGAGTCAGATTTCGCGCGGGAACAAGGGGATATTGATTGATTTAGAAGATATTACCTACCGTTTTGCTGTTTAATTTCTTACTAGGTGAGAATAGGGGAGTCGGGAAGTCAGGCGAAGCAATTGTAGTGTATTATGAGATAGATTTGGTGATTAGATGAGAGAAAATTAAAAGGGTTACGGCCCATAAGAAGATATTCTGTGAGTGCAGTATGGTAGGGTAAACTAGGAGGAAAGTAGACGGACTAGCTGACAGATGAGTAGTAGTTACAAGTCACACGACAAAGAGATTTTTTTGCCAAGAGAAAAGAGGATGTCTGAGAGGGAGAGGAAATGCGAGGAGAAGACGGAATGATGGATCAATCTAGAGGTTACGGGGACCGCGTTTGTATTTCAATATCGCCTTTCAATATCGAGATCATGAGGATGAAGCTATGCCTATGAATAGCCGGATTGGGATCGACGATGAGGAGAGATAGATATGATGCATGATACATGAGGACTGAAGGTTGAAGGCTGAAGATGATACTAAAAACACTGTAAGATGATATTTGGTGAGGGCACTATCACGCTCATCTTTGACATACTACAAACTGCTGACACCGAAAGTAACACACATCTATCTCAGTTTCACACCGCGGTTGAATAGATACTCAAGCATAAGAATATACCCGTATGAGAATACGCGTGATCGAAACTACATGCGCATTCACATTTAAGACTACATCTACATTATCTTTGATATCCAATAATGAGCAATACCAGTGCGCAGTTCTTTCCCAACGGCTGACCTTGAAGAGACTAGAGAACAAAGAAACAGCATTCTCTGTTCGTCTTAATTTCTAGTCGCCGAGCTGGAGAGATAGTGAAGCTAAGGTTTATTTCCTACATTCTGCTAACTTTCGAGCTTAGATAGGATCAAGAAAGGATAAATACGAAGAGGGGATTATTGATATTTCGTTTAGTTTAGTTTCATGGATAAAATGTGTGAGGTGTGTAGAACTAGATTGAGATGGATTCGAGTGAGATGCATCGGGGGAAAGATGTATCTACCGCGTCTTGATTTGACGGGTAGGTATGTACCAAGAGATTTGAATCCCGTCGCGAACTTGGAAGCAGCAGTTGGTGCCATTCATATGTGAAGGTGCAATATAAATAGTTAATATAGTGCAATGAAGATGGGTATACAACAAGAGGTGAGATGAAATGGATATGGTAATCGTATTCTAGTGTCAGGAACTGTGGGTGTTCTTGTGAGTAGTGGGGAGAGGAACAAAGAAGTGGGATGCACGTGGTTAGAGGGGAGAGTAGGCGAGGAGTATTGATGGAGTTTCCCGTCTTTTAGTCGTTTGTGTGAGGTTGGCGAGGGGAAGAGAAGAAGAAATGGGTATGCTCCGGCTATTTTGGGAGATAGAAAATGTTTTCTTTGTGAGTGGGATGGAGATGAGGAGTAGATTGGGGAGTTCCCGTCGTGGTTATCACAGATCGTAGCTTGCGCACTGGAATCACGGACTGTTACATCTGCGAAATGCTCTAGATGATTAAGAGGCGAAACCAGAAAACCTCACCAGAAACGGATATCGCGATGCACAATACGGCGAGGTAGTTGACTGGCGTCGATTGATACGACGTGGATTAGGTACACACATGCTGTACATTCATTCCTTTGTGCATTCTCATGTTCGCGAATGCGCGGTCAATTCAGATATGCAACAAAACTTTTTTTCAACTTCTCATTCTTTGTTTCAGAAATGGTGGGAGACCAATTAGATGAATAGTCAAGAAGAAGTCATTGGATGGTCATTGGGGATCCCATGTTCGCGAGTGCGCGCTCAAATTCAGATATGCAACAAATTTTCCCTGGGTTTGTGATTCTTTGTTTTGGAAAGTGTGAGGGACCAATTAGATTGGCAGTCAGGGAGAAGTCACTGGCTTGAAATGAAAATTAGATAAAGAAAATGATGGGGAATCATCGGGAGGGCGAAATGGAGTGCATGCCGACGAGATATTTGGAGTGTGGTGGGAAGATTAGCGACGAGAGGAGATCTGGACAGTGGAGGTCTGCATGAGTCGTTCACGTTGATGTTTTTCGAGGAAAAATAGAAATATGCTGGGAAATATTAACTAGCATGTGACAGAAACATGAGAGCTCTAGGAGCTACGCGAGTCCCGTTTGTGTTGTGCTGTATCTCTTAGGTAAACTTTACGTTACGGTTGTTTTGCATGAGAAGTTTCGACATTTGGAACCATATCATAGTATTCTCAATTTGACTTTAGTTGTGAAATGTTGGTAAGACTTGTGCGCACTACTAGTCTTTGTCAAGAACTTTGGGTTGCAATCAGTGGGTAAGTTAATCATTCTTTCCATGATAGTATTTAGTAAAGTATCATGAAATTGTTACCCCTTTCCCCGTATTAATATAGCCGAGCTCCAACTACCTCAACTACCCCAACTATCCTAATCACAATACTCTGTGTTACAGAAAAACTTGGTTATACCGGACTGAAATTTTCGACCAATGAAATCCAATATAAAGAAGATTCCAATATAAAAAATGATAGTCTAAGCTTTTTAATCAAAATTTATATCCGATTTCAACTCTAAACCCCAATATTTTCAAGAAAATATTATATAATAATAACCTTTCAAATTTACTTATCCAAAATATAGCTTATTCAGCTAGATTTATTGTCAAAATTTATACCGGAATTTAATCAATTTAGTCCGGTATATTAGTTTTCATCGAAATTCCGGTATTCTCATATAAATTTAGAAAAAACTGGAAAAAAAGTCTAGTATATCCAAGTTTCCGGTATATCCCAGTCCGGTATAACCAAGTTTTTCTGTATCAGCTTTCCCAAACTTTACACTGATACTTCCAATTTTACTAAGAAATCCCATCTTTCTCTCCAGAGTCTTATTGATCACTCCATCAGGAAAGAATTCAAACCCTCCCTTTGTGACAATCAAGACCCACTAACAAGTATCTACATATCAAAAAAACAATCCTTTATCCCCATTCTCTACACTTGCCAAGAAAATCCTCATGTATCATTTACAATATACAATACCTAGTTATCGATTTGCTAATCACCCAACACGAACTCACGAAATCGCGATCTGGACATGTGAGTAGAAATCAGAACAAATCATTAAAGCCACCAAGAACCCGAAATCCCCCCCGCCCATCATACTGCTCAAGACCTAAACAAGAAATTACTCTTTTATCCAACCCCAGAAAAAAAAACCAGGACAGTACGCTCAAACCAACTAGAAACATGCCACGTAGTCCCGCCGGCTACGAAGAGATATGTCCGGGAAAAAGGGGATTTAATACGTATGATGATGGTGATAAGAATGATACGCATATGCCGATAAAAAGAGAGACGAGTCGGATTCCACTGCGGAATCGGGGATGGGTGCAGGTACTTATTGTTGCGATATTTTCTCTGGTGTTTCTTGGAGTGGGGATGGTGGTTGGGAGGAGGGGTTTGAGGGGGAAAAGGAGGTGGGGATTGTTGGGTGAGTTTTTTCTTCTTCTTTGCATGATGAGGATTTTAATGTTATTTTTGGTGAAACATGAAACTGAATAAGTGATAAGTGAACTGGAGTTAGGGATTGAATATTTGCTGATGAGATATAGCACCGCCTGGATCAATAAAAGAAACTTGGTATCCTAATACTACATTCTCCATGAAACCAACTCCAGAATCGGAAGCCGCTTGGGGATCCCTGATGCCAGGTTAGTGTTCCCATACCTATTCTACCAGCATTCATAGGGATAAAACTGACAACTTTGTAGTGGGCAGAGGATTCATCTATCGACCCGAGATAGCGGCCATTGTAAAAAGTGTCTCAGTATTCCACCAACTACATTGTCTTGTAACCCCCCCTTTCCTTCCCTTTCCCCCTCTACTCATTTTCCTCTCTCCCTCCTTTCCCCTTCCCTCAACCCCACGCCCAACTAACCCATCCCCAGCACGGCCTCCGCACCTCCTACTACGACCTGCACTACCAAATCGCGCGGGCCGCCGGCGCCCCCATCGATCCATATCTCGAGCAAAAAGCCGCACACACACATATCGAAACGGCACATCAAAAACACTGTTTCGACTATTTACGACGCGCGATCATGTGTGCTGCGGATACAAACCTGGAGTATGTGGATCCGGTGACGGATGATACGACGGGGTGGGGGAGTGAGCGGGTGTGTAGGAGTTTTGAGGATGTGAAGGGGTGGGCGGAGAAGTGGGCTAATGGGGCGGGTGGGGGGATTGCTTAGTGGAGGAGAGGGGAGAGGGGGAGGGGGTGGGGTGGAAGAGGAGATGGGAGGAGAGTTTTGGAGGGGGTTGAACATTATCGATGCAGAAGATTGAGTGTGATTGGGGACTGATAATTGCGCTTTTTGTAGAAGTGAAATATCTTCACCAGAATAGATGAATGAATACAAAGACAGCTATGTATACGAGGTAGAGTCTAGATCTCAAAATAACGATCTATATTTCCGGATTAATCTTTGAACGGACACTTGTGACCAAGCCAAAAAAGATAAAAGAAAGTATCCTCAGAAATCTCGACACCCGTATGAAATTAACTAAAACTTCTTATTATCCATTTATAATTATTGACTTGAAGAACTGGCCATGTAATGCAAAGTGATGAGACAAGCTTGATCGAGTATCTGACAGATATGAAGGTGACACTGTAAATCTTTTGGAAAACCGTTGCATCGTAGTTAAAGTTACCTTCAAGCCCGCGCAAAGTGCAAGATAAACTGTAGCATAATCTTAGTATTCGAATATAGAATTGGCATACAAAACACCACACAATTGTAAATGCTTTGCTCGGGGAATCATATATTATTCATCTCATACTACCTCCCAACCTTTTGCATATCCATCTACTCATGAATCAATGAATACCTTTCCTTTAATCAACTATCATGTCATATCAGATCATACGTAGCCAAACAGACAAAGTCCCAACGCCATACACATCATCCTCATCAATGTATCTACCCACACCACCCATCCATCCCCAGTCTAGGATTGACCCGTAACCCTCCTAATACTTCTTCTCGGCCCTTCACCAAGAATCATAACCTTCCCTTCTAATTCCAATCCCCTAACCGCCTCTCCAAATTCCGCCGCATCAACCTGCAAACTACTTTGTTCCCCAAGTTTCCTTACAACCTCTGTCCATCTAGCATTTCCACCTGGTCCCGTCATTTCATCCACTACTCCCAATACCGCATTTTTCAAATCTCCCTTTCTTCTCCTTTCACTTGCGGACGTTCCTTCTGTCAAAAGACTCATATCAATTAATCCCGTTCTCGCATCCGTAGCTGCTTGTTTTAGCGCACTCTTAATCAATCGAACTGCTTCTTGAACATCTTCTTTTGTGACGATTTCAGAAAGACGCATTTTGGCATGAGCTTCTGCGAGACGAATCATAGATTCGAGTTGACGAGTAGTGGCCGTAATACGACGTTCAGCGGCACGAATATCTTCACCTAATTTACGCATTTCAACATAGGCGGAAACAAGTTCAGTAGATGCTTCTTGACTGATGCGTGGCTGACACTTTGCACGAGCGTATGAGATATAGGAAGTGAGGAACTCGATTGGCTGAATTTGTTAGCTTTACTTGTGTATAATCAACGAAAACATGTGCTTACCAAAATTTCCATTCCTCCCGAAGCACTCTGTGGCTTATCATCTAGATACATACTGAGAAGATGACGAGCCAACCTACGGTCAGCAGTCTCATCAATACGATCCAAGACCAAGTAGACCAGATCAAATCTGGAAAGTAAAGTAGGTGGTAAATCGATGTTTTGAGGTACCGGTAAGTTTGGATTATATTTACTTCCGATTGGATTTGCGGAAGCAAGAATACTTGTTCTAGCATTCAAAGTGGTGATGATTCCTGCCTTAGCGATAGAGACAGTTTGTTGTTCCATAACTTCGTGCAAAACTGATCGAGTAGCATCGGACATTTTGTCGAACTCATCAATACAGCAAACACCCCCATCTGACAAAACAAGAGCACCAGATTCAAGAACGAGTTGGCGTGTTTCTGGGTCTCGAGTAACATATGCTGTTAAACCAACTGCCGAAGATCCTTTGCCACTAGTATATACACCACGAGGAGCGATCTTGTGTACGTATTGAAGAATCTGAGATTTCGCAGTAGAAGGATCACCACACAATAGAATATTGATATCTCCTCTGTATTTTGGACTTCCTCCTTTTTCGAAAGACTTGTTAGTTCCACCAAACAATTGAAGCAAGATGCCCTTCTTCACATCGTCCATCTCAAAAATACTAGGTGCAAGGGATCGAGATAGAAGTTCGTAGATATCAGGTCTTGCAGCCGTTTCTCTAATCTTTTCTTCCTCTTCCTCGGAAACCTTTCTAGTTTCTTCAATGTTGCCTGTTAATTGATCGGATATTTCTTGTTCAACAGTCGAAGCATCAATTCCCATTCTTTTTTTGTCAACTTTTTGGATATGTAAGACGTCGATATAGGTCTTGTAGATACTTTTAAGTGTTCGTTGGCGAGGATTGACACGAACTGGACTAGCCTTGAAGATACCAGTAATCTCAACTCTGTCACCAGCCTTGCAAAGATCTACCAACTCATCATATGCACACATTGAGACAGAATGGGGTGTTTGACCAGCAGGAACGGAATCTGGAGTTTCTTGAAGTTTAATAACTTGCTTATCCATGAATCCAGATCTGTTGTGTACAATCTGCATAGAATTTGGAGATTTACAAACCGGACGAGGACATTCTGTAGGCTCAGCAATCTTACCACGGTCAATATCAACCTTGACAGTATGATTGCACACAGAACATTTGAAGAAAGCATCTTTCATATCTGGAATGATTGGCGTGGTTCGAATAACGAGACCCTTGATAGCAATAATCTTATCAACGTCAGATGGATCGAGTTCTCTCATATTAATAGTCTTGTCCAATCCAAAAGGTCGAACTCTATATGATCTCTTTTGTACCTCCGCACACAAGTCCACTTCATTAGAATCTTGTGCCCGTGGTGTTGCAGCTTCTGGCTCGCTTCTTTCCGAACTTGGAACAGGGGGTTCTGAGCTTTGAATCCTGCCTCTTCCAGATGCCTGCCCAGCGGAGCTTTGTGATTGTCTTTGAACTGCCATTTGATTTTCCGCGATCTCATACATAACATCTTTAATACCTTGATCCATAAGAGTAACAATATCTTGAGGGTAATCCTGTGCTTGTTGCCAAAGTTTCTTGGTTGGAGGGTATGCCTTGAGATTGCGGAAATCTAAATTGAGACTTGTAATTCCAAGAGTCAACATATTTTGCATCATCTCCAAGTATTCCTTCGAGTTTGATTCTGGATCAGCTTGGGTGTCTTCCTCTGACATTCCTTCACCCCACATTCGGTATTTTTTGGTATAGTTTCGAAGGAAGTCCTTGAATGTGGACAACGTATCGTTTATAGAAACATTCGTACCCCAGATACAAAGTGTAGAGTTTCCTCCCATTGCTTGCGCATCTGAAGTTGTTGGATCAAGGTTCGAGAACGATGGAGCTTCCGCATCTTCAGGTGGAACATCTCTTACAACTCGACCACTTTCATCCATGAAAATACGTCTTCTCGCACGGGGTGTATTGAGGTTGTCAGAAGTAATGTCTCCTCTTCGCGAATTGTTAACCGCAGATCCAGGACCTTGGGAACGAGAAGAGCGAACGAAAAGGCCACTGCTATCACTTGGAATATTGGTATGAGGATCATTGGCATATGCTCTACCAGGACTAGAACTTGCTTCGTATCTGATGGGTGAAGAGTCTATTGTTGTCAGCATGCAGCAATAAATTTGTAAATATAGTACCTACCACCGATGAGAGCGCTAGCATTTGCTCTTGGAGTACGATCGCCATCTTCTGTTGTCTGGGTGTTTGTCATTTGTCTCAGGGGTGAGCTGATTTCTCTATTGAATCGTGCAGCATCTGCTGGAGAAGATCGATAATTCATAGGCGACGACGATGGAATAATACCCCGCCGAGGAGTACCTGTAACGCCTTGCGACGAGGCTGCTTCATTTTGAAGTTGAGCAGCGGCGGGATCTGGTGGACTACTTGGTACAGCTTGTGAATTTCTCGCTGATGTACGTTTAGGAGTCGCAGATTGAGAATTGCGCTGCCGACGACCGGCAGGGGACGACATTTTGAGTTCTAAATAATGACGCTATGCAAGTCCAATGCCAAAAGAATGTGATTGTTGTGGTGGATCTGACTTTGACCTGGTAAGGAAGTGTAAACAACGGAGTGAAAAAGAAAAGTGGATAGAATACAAACAGCCGCAACCACTAGGTACCTGATGTCGCGTCACGTCCCCTTTTACGCGTAAAGTGGTTTTTGATTGAAGTGGCTAACAGTGGCTAGCAGTGGCTGAAAGACTAGCCAATTAAACGACTTTTTGGCTTCGTTTTGGTCCTTCCTTTCCAATTGGTCTTTGCTATCACGAGAGTACATAGACTCAAGCAAAACATTCAGAACTCGGTCATCTTCTAAACTTCCTCTAAATTACATCTCCCTCCTCATGAATATCGTGAAGGGTCCAACTCCTTTGGCCAATCAAAATCTTGCCATCTGCATATATCTCTCTGAACTCTCTTTGCTATCTCACTTATATGTTTTTTGAACTTATACACACATCCCCTTCCATTCTTATAAGATAAAAGAGCCACAAATCTATATTTACTGGCCGGTCGAACACCCCCGACCTCTTACCATCTTCGTTATTTGTAGAGATCCTGTTACCACTTGGTCGTAGCCAAGTTACAATCAACTCGCATCTCTAATTTCTACCCCAGATATCATTCATTTCACAATTCTTAGACTTCAACTCTTCTGAATCCATTCTCTACACTATTATCAATTCTCCACTACTCAATCCCCATGGTCCCTCTCCCAGACAATGAAATCTCCTTCTCAGGTTTCACCTCCTCAATAATTTGAATCATTTTCTCTCCTACCATGATTCCTATCTCCTTATATCCTTCCTCTGTGAAATGTAGCCCATCGTCCCAGAGACGTTCTCGTTTCCCCAGCTCCATGTTGTGGTAGGGCATCGCGCCGCGGAGATCAAATGTACTACTGTCAATTTGACGGTGATTAGCATATAGTGTGTCGCAGCCACCCTTATTGTATCGTGCCAATCGTTCTAGCGCTCATTTGAACGTAGAACAATGCAGTATTAGAGAGAGATAGGGGAGAGTGGAGAGGACTA